TTTCTAGTGATCCTCCTGTCTCAGCCTCCTCAGTGCTGGGATTATAGGTGTGTACCACCACACCTGGTTTCAATGGCTGGCACATCATGCTCAGGGTTCCAGGGCTGGCATGGCATGTGGTACTGGGGATCGAACCCAGATCCTTGAACTTGCCAGACAGGCACTTAGGCTGCCTTGCTATCTTCCCAGTCAAAAAAATTGTTTAAATAGATGAAATTTAAGATAAGAAGACCTGATCCTAATTCACTTTCTATTCTCGTTAATTGCATACTGGATAAGTCACTTGCCTCTAACTTCAGATACCACAGGTGCAGATGAGGATATATGATTTGTAAAATGACAGTGCCCAGGGTACCCATGGGAGCTTCAGCCCCGCCTTGCCACCTCTATACTACAGGCTCTCCTCACAACTCTATGGAGGGTACCAGAGGCTGTCATGACCATGAAGCTTGCCTGAGACGCTTTGTGAAATTAGAGGGATTTTTCCATATTTCAGATCTGTCCAAAAACATTTTCTGAATCATGTCCCTTTCTCTTCTAACACCTACTTACAAATTCTGGTTCTGGCAGCAGCACTTACTCTTACAATACATGCAATCAAGAACTTCGCCAGAAAGTAAATAATACTTACTGTGTGAAGAGGAGATAAGAAATACACTACATTTACTTCATATTGACTTAGATGAGAACAGCACAAAACATAAGACTGAAATATAATCCTAAACACCGTAACGTCTATAACATCCACCCAACCACCTACCCCTGTTTCTCATATTGTTGTCACTTTTATATCATCTCTCATGAATTTAGGCCTTTGCCATAAAACACTAAAATCTGCTTAATAATCATTTTCCCATTATACTATTTTAACTTTATTAGAAACTCATGAAAAGAGAAATGTAAAAGATTTTAAAACTTGTGAAAAGTTTGACATTTGCACTGCATTTTACTATCCCAACCTCTGGTACATGTTCATCAGACAAACTGACAAGTACACTGTCAGGACTGAAGCTTCAAGTTCTATATTCTTATTCCTCAGAGCTTGCTAACTCGCTAACACTCTCTCTCTCTCTCTCTCTCTCTCTCTCTCTCTCTCACACACACACACACACACACTCAAACACACATACACACACACGTGCATGCATGCATGCATGCGCGCGCGCGCACACACACACACACACACACAGCTTCAAAATAACAGCATCCTCACTTTTAGGTGAATATATTTATATTGGCTCCACTCTAGGAATGTGATATGAAAATGAGCTTAGCTGGGTTTCCCCTCATCTACTATTTTCTATAACATGGAACCCAATTCATTAAATGCCATTAAAAGTAACAGGAAATTCATCTGATGAACAACCAAGAGCAGCTAACCAGCTAACTGTATGACTGATCATGAACACGACTCATCTGGAACACAGGTGACCTACCCTCTTTGGATAAAAAGCTGGTTTCCTCTAGTCAATTAAACTGCGAAGAACTCAAACTCAGGCTAACTTATGGCAGAGAACACTAACTTCACACATTTCTTTCCTTCTGGGATTTAACCTTGTACTTGTATCTTATCCTCATCCATTCTAGGCACAGCATGACTCCTCAGCTGAAGGAACTCATGTCACACTGGCCTACGTGTTCCTTAACTGCAGTTAGGAAGAGTTCACATGTGTCAGCAGGCATGGCTCCTGTGTCCACAGAGGAGCTGCACCTCAGCTAGGAGATGGGAATTTGGGGGCACAATGAAAACACAAAGCTAACTGAGTACCTGCCATTTGGGCACAGCTATTAATATGAAGAGTTGCAAGGGGCTAAAACTAGGCACAGATGAGTAAGCCAGCCAGTTCTATTTTCTACAGAAAAGAGAACTAATGGCACTTGGCTTACAGTTACATCCTCAAATATAATACAGTGTCTCACTCTGCATGTAACCAAAGTGCAAAATTCACAAATGTTATGTTCTGCCAACTATGGGCAATGTTCTCCCTCACAACACTCAAATCCTAGCAGGACAACTGAGCAGGAGACAAAGCTGTCTGCATATCAGCCACATGAAGTGGCCAAACAAGTCACTCCAAATCACAGAGTTCATGCCAGAACAGGTGATCTTTAGTTATAGCACCAAATACTGGCACTTTCAAGCTGAGCTAAGAAATTAGTGCAATTCAACTAATTACAATGTGCTAAGGTCCAAAATCAAATTATTCTTTGATACTTCTGTCAATAATTAGTGCTCATATGTTACCAGCTATCTTTTAAATTTGTCCAAATCAAAAATAAAAATAGAACTGTCATCATAGGTAAGAAGAGATGCCTGAAGTAGGTTTGTTTAAGGCATGCACAAATCCAGGCACTGAACCCTCTGGCACTGGTCTCAGCATGTCCAATTCTCTGAATGCTCTCTTGCTTTCATAGAGCCCACGTGATATGGGATACAATGGACATGGGTGGCAACGTGGGAGTCAGAAGCCAGCCTGCCCCATCCTCTAAACATGTACAAGTTATACAGCTGGCCGACAGGCTGATGAGATGAGCAGACATGCCATTCACCTGCTCAACAAACAGCTACTGAATGTCACTGTGAGTTGGAAGGAATGGGCAACACTAGAAATCTTCAGTTTATGTTCCACTGCAGTGGGTCTAGGGGTAGAACATCCGGTAACAACCATCCATCTAGTAACTATGGGAAATACACCAAGAAGTAAGACATCATGAAGACTGGGATCTGGGGCTGACTTTGATAAGTGGCATTTGGGCTAAGCATAAAATGTGGCAAAGGGCTTCAGTATGCGTGAATCTCTGAATGCAGGAAGCAGCACAGACATCTGGGAAAGCATGCTGCAGAAGAGCTGCACAAGCCAAGAATAGGACAGGGTGGTGGCAGGTACAATCACTGGACAGCATCTATACCTGCTCTCCACCTGTATGCTGAAGAAAAGCAGGCTCCACAATGATAAATGCTTCATGGACACATAAGTGACACCTAGCTATGACAGATACTCATTAAATGCTGTTAAAGTAACAGGAAAAGTAAGCCGTACTTAGGCAAGGAAACTGTTAACTGTTTACAGCAATGCTAAAATCTCACTACTTCCCATCATCACCAAAGTGGTCTAAAGCATGCTGTTAAGACATCCCTGAAGAGAGTGCTAGATAGTGGATTCTATTTTTTGTTTTTAAAACTTAACTGGATTTAAGATTAATGTGCAAGATGGGGGGGGGCAGTGCTGGGGATCAAACTTGGGACCTTGCATTTTTGCCAAGTAGGCGCTTATGCCACTGAGCTATATCCCAGCTCTGGGTTTAAGATTAATAAAGGATTATTTTGAAAAAGATACTCCATTGGCAAAGATACTGCAAGGGGGTAAGTATGCAATGAGTAAGTTCCTCTAAATAGTATTTTTTTGTTCTTGTAGAAACAGATTTCAACCTATCCTTTCTGATCATTTCTTCTGTTAACTATACCACTGCCCTATTTACAGTTTCAAGCATGCTGGTCCCATCTGATTTCAGGTGGGTATTCAGTATGGTACTTAGCAAACACAGTCTATCTTCCCTGGCACCTGAGTCTCCACAAGCTCTCTAATAGCATTTACTCCCTGAGCAACAGCAAAGCCAGGAGATAATGCTCGAACTGAACATTCTTCCCAGCAACCTACTTTTAGAGAATACCACTGTTACTCACAACTGTATGTCCCCCAAGTCATCTCAGAAACATTTCTGAAATACTTTCTAGAGAAATTATATTTTCTTTGGTAATAAAAATACTGTTTAAAAATGGTCATCAAAATTTAAACTCCTTATAGGAAACCACATAGTGGTATAAAAGCAACTGAGAAAATCAGGTGCTTTTCATACAGATCCTATACAGAAAGAATTATTTTCCAAAGGGGTCAGGTGAAGAAAAACTCTGCTTTAGAAATAACTGCCTTAAAAAAAAAAGAAAAGAAAAGAAATAACTGCCTTGCTCACTCCTTGCCAGAGAATGAAGTTCTAGGTGATGAATGACTACTGCAGCTACTTGTCCTAAAGAGATTAGCAATAAAAACCATGTAAATAGCTGGGAACGAAGCCACTGTCTAGATATATGACGCCTGACCTGAAATCACACAGCAGGGGTGGACTATGGGTTCTTGGGCGGGAGGGTAGATCCACACTTCCAAGAAAGTTCTATTTTTAACACATTTTAATTAGAAATTCTGAAATGGACTTTAGAGCTAACACCCAACTTCATCACCTCATCAATCCTCCAGCTTTTCCCCACAAGGGGATGTAACTGTCAGAAAGGGCACAGAGGACAAATCCAAACCAAAGCTGATAGCTGGAAATGCCACCTTTAATATTATTATTTTTGTACAGAACACTTTCTATTTGAGATATGATCTAAACCATAAACCTAAAAACAAAAATCCCATGACAAGTACTCATTTTTTATTCTATTAAAAGGCACACCAAAAGTTATCCTTTGTCTCATTACTTTGTTACATGCAAAATTACTGTCCAAAGTAATTCCATGGGATCCTTACCTCTAAAAATAGATTATGATTAACTGTTTTGATTCCCCCCCCCTTCTAGAACCTACAATTTTGCTATTTGGAAATAGCAAAATGATAGATATAAGTATCAAAAAAACACTGCCCTTAGCATATCTCAGACTATAAGATTCAATCATTCATTCTTTTCCTAAGGTTTTGGCTGTAAGACAAATCAGAAGACCAATACTTTGAAGAACTTCATCGTTGTCATACATCCTTTTTTCTCAAGTACAGGGTGCTCCAACTGAGAAATGGAGTCAGGGCATATTCTATCTTAACGGGAAACACGGCAGAGCCCTGACTCCTGTCCCATCACACAAGCTCGGTGATTGAGGAGCATGCTGTCTGGGACAGGCTGCTAGACCTGCCTAGCACCACATCCTGCACTTGTGCATGGAAGGGCAGAGGTGCACAGCTACTTTCCAGCGCTCGGTTCCTGTCCTGGGGCAAAGCAGCGCTGCTCACCGAAACGAAAGTAAAAGAGAGGCCGGTTCCCCGCGGCGCTGGCTGCCCGCTCCCGGGCCGCAGCTTCTCGGATGTCGCATACCCCGATGTGGGCAGAGCGGAATGTTCTCCTCGTCGCACCTTCACTGGGTTGCAGTCTACACCGAACCACGGCAGCTCCATTCGCTGCTGTAACAAGTTGAAAAAAAACTAATTAATTCAGACTTTAGTTTTTTTTAAATTTGTTACAGCGCTGAGCAGAGCTGCCGACCCCATGCAGAACCGCACACGAAGGGACCAAAGGGACACCACAAGGCACAGAAGTCCTCAGCACTCAGCCAGCATGGGTCAAAGGGATCCGGCCTCTGGAAAAGCCAGCAACTGCTTCTGTTTCACTTTTGTTGGGTAAAGCAAAAAGACCAAAATCCAAACATTCTGCCTTCTGGTCTTTTCCCAGGACTTGGAAGGCACCTGCAAAACAAGCGAGCCCATCTTTCCAACAGCATGCCAAAGAATCCTCTGAGAAGAGGAGAGAAAGGAGGAAAGTGAAAGAACACTATCCTCTAAGCAGCTGCTTCAGCACTTGCCCCTAAGCTGCTCCTTCCGGGGTTTCTACCAGTGAATTTGCCTTTTCTGCTCCCTCCTCAAATAACAGTCCTTGAAGCTGCATCAGGTGGACCCCTGCATTCTAGCCCTTCTGGTAAGCACGGCTACACAAAAAAGGACACCTCTGCATCCACTTCCTTGGAAATCAAAGAGAGAAAACACACACAAACAAATTTCAAAACAAAGCTGCAAGCACAGCAGAAACTTCATGCACAAGGTAAGCTGCCTAGAACGCAAGCCTTTGGGGCTCCCCTTGCAGAGCTGACACACCAGGGCACGCCAGAGCCCCTGGAGAGAACAGAACTAGAGTATGTGCAGGTATGGACATGGATGAGCTTAAACTGAACAGTTAAATGTATGTCACTGTCCTTTTTCTTAGAGGAAAACAAACTGCTTGCATTAGCTTTCAATCACCCCCACAGCCTAGTGAATATTCAAAGGACACCCTCAAACTGCACAGAGCTGAAACTAGAAGCAAGGTGTTGCAGCTCCACTCTAGTACCATTTTCTTTTTCCCACAATTTAAACAGCTTAGCTCAAGTCCAAAGGGATTCTCCAGATCTGCACATGTGAAAACACTAGAAGGAAAGAGACTTGATACTTTTCAGGAATCAGTAACATACACTTTACAAACATCTTAAAAAACAGCCATTCTTAACAAATCATCATGCCACACAGGAAATTATATCATTTTCTAAATTTGTCATTCTATAATAACCACAAATGCCTTCTACCAATTTAAACCATAATCAATAGCAATAATTAACTCACTAAACCAAGAATTTTGATTAAATCACAAATGTTCTTTTTATGATTACACCATTCCAAAGCAATCAAAATACTGACCTTTACCTGCAGATGATAAATAGCTATTAAATTAGGTATGTTTATAGAAAAACTGTATATGCCTTCTATAATGATATATATGTAACCATACTAAAGAACTGGACAGTCAGGTGTGCACATCAAATCTGTGATCTTTATGCAGATTCAGACTAAGAAAGGATTTTTCTGTTTGCTTCTTTGTATGCTGCAATTAATTCTTAAATGAAGGTGATCTGTTATTCATCAAGGTGTACGTACTCGGAGGCTGGGGAAGGTAGGCTCCAATTAATTTTGACCTCTTCTTTTCATATCCCTTTTGTGTGATGTCACCTGCAAAAAAAGGAAGAAAAATTAGAACAGTCTCAATGGATAGACTATTCACTTAATGAACTCTAGTAGAACATATTGATAGTTATAGCCATATCTTTTGTTTGCATTACAAACACAATTTTTTTCTTTTTTTTTCAAAGTTTTATTGATAAACAGCAATGAGATAGTTTCAAATCAAATCGGAAGTACAGTTTCAACAAATATTACACTGCATATATTCTTCTTAGTGGTTAATTGCTGTACAAGATGCGGACTTGTGATCCTATTTACAAACACCATTAGAACAAATCATTCTA